GGAGATGTTCGCTGATGATTGCACACTATTCAGCACCTTTCAATCCTCCTCAGATACTGAAGCAGTCCATGCCTGGACATAATACCCAGGATTGGGTTGACAAGTTGCAAATAACATTCACATCTCCCAAGTGCCTGGCAATGACCATCTCCAACAAGAGAGAATGTAACCAATGCCCCTTGACATTCAATGGTATTACCATGGCTGAATCTCTCACTACTAACATCTAGGCTCACCAAAACTAATGCACAAGTACAAGGCACACCATCCAGGGGAAAGCAACCCTGTTGATTGGTAACCTGCTCATCAGCACATTCACTCCCCTCCACCACCAACTAAGAGAAGCAGCAGTGTGTGCCATTTCCAAGATGCACTGTAGCAACTCACCAAGGCTCCTTTGATTACCTTACACTCTGCAAACTCAACAAACTAGAAGGGCAAGATTAGCAGATGCATTCAAACACCATCACATGATAGTTCCTCTCCAAGCCTCTCACCATCCTGTTCCTTCAATGTTGCTGGGTCAAAATCTTGGAGCTCCCTTCTTAACAGCACTCGGGGAATTCCGACATCACATGCACTGTAGTGATTCAAGAAAGCAGCTCACCACCACTTTCGGTGATGGGTAATAAATGTCACTGAAGCTCAAATCCCACAAAGCACTTGAAGAACATGCCACAAAATGAAATCATTTGAAATAGCTTTAGGGTTCCAACTGAACTGTGAGCTGTGATGGCCTTGTGGTATTATTGCTGGACTGTTAATCCAGAGACCCAGGTTCGAATCTCGCCACAGCAGATGGTGGAATTTGAATTCAATAAATATCTGGAATTAAGAATCTAATGATGACCATGAATCCATTGTTGATTGTCGGAAAAACCCATCTGGTTCACTAATGCCCTTCAGGGAAGGAAACTGCCATCCTTACCTGGTCTGGTCTACATGTGATTCCAGACCCACAGCAATGTGGTTGACTCTTAACTGCCCTCTTGGCAATTAATGCTGTCTAGCCAGTGATGCCCTCATCCCGTAAATGAATAAAGGGGGAAAAAAAAGCTATTGGTAACAGGTATGCTTGAGACAAATGGGATAATATCTCAGCTAAGTGAAGAAACTAACGCAAACACATTAGCACGTCTGCTACTCATTTTCCAGCAGATCTCAGCCAATGGTAATACTTTTCTCCTGGACTGGATTTAGCCGTGAAGTAAAGAGTGAGAAAGCCACAAAGTTGCTTTTCATCTCCCAGCTGGATCATTATAATCAATTAGTATCTGGGAACCCACAACAAAACAAATTATAACTTTAAATGGGTTGGAAAGATGTAATGAAAGTATTAATGGATGTACATATGATTACCCACAGTTATACTGTGCCTTCATAGATTCCTAGAATATTACAGCATGGACAAAGACCAGTCAGCCTATCGTATTGGATTTTTAAAAGTGTTACCTAAATAATTCCACACCCTACCCTTTCTCCACAGACATGCACCTTTTGCCATTTCAAGCATCTGTCCCATTCTCATTTGAAAGTTATAAAGGAACCCTCTCAGGTAAAACAAGACAGCTTACTGTTCACCTCCCATTCCGTTCACCTCCCATTCCATTCACCAATGTCCTAACCTGAAGCACTTGATATGGGCTGTGAATTGTGGTGGAAGACTCCACAGACATATTCAAGTACATGACAGCAGTGTTTTACTTTAAAAGTAAGGGAGAGAAATAGCAAGGGGTGGTGGGAGAGTTAGAGACTGGAGCCACAACAACAGATTAGTGGAATGAATGAGATTGGATGCACAAGATGTCCAAAACTGGCTTAGTGACAGGAGATAGATGATGATGGTTGAAGGCTGTGTGTGTGACTGGAGACTGTTGTTCAGTGATGTACCACAGGGGATCAGTGCTGGGTCCCTTATTGGTCATGAAATGTATAAAATATATTGAGGATTATAATTAAGTTTGCGGATGACACAGATATTAGCCAGGTGATTAATAGTGAGGAAGAAGGTCTTATGTTTCAGGAAGATATTGACGGGTTGGTTAGATGGGCAGATCAGGGCCAGATGGAATTTAACCTTGAAAAGTGTGAGGTGTTGCAGTCTGGATGAAGGAACAAGGCAATGGAGTCCTCAATGAATGGCAGGGCACTAGGAAAGCCAGAGGAACAGAGGGATCTTGAGGTGCTTGTCCAAAGATCCCTGAAGGTGGCAGTACAGGTTATTAGGGTAATGAAGAAGGAACATGGAATGTTCGCCTTTATTAGTCATAGCATAGACTATAAGAGTTGGGAGGTTATGTTGGAGTTATACAAAACTTTGTTTATGCCAAAGCTGGAGTACTGGGTGCAGTTTTGGTCCTCTTGTCTGAAGAAAGATATGCTGGCATTAGAGTCAGTTCAGAGAAAGTTCACTTGGTTGATCCTGGGTGTGGAGCGACTATCTTACAGGGAATAGTTGAGTTGGTTGGACCTGTACTCATTGGGGTTTAGAAGAATGAAAGGTGATCTTATTAATACAAATAAGATTCTTAAGGGATTTGACATGGCATATGCAGAATGGTTATTTCCCCTTGTCAGAGAGTCTAAGATGAGATGGAATAGTCTCAGAGTAAGGGACCATCCATTTAAGACAGAGATGAGGAGGAATTTCTGTGCTCACAGGGTAGTGAACCTGAGGAATTCTTTACCGCAGAGAGCTGATGAGGTTGGGTCAAGGCTGAAATAGACAGATTTTTTTGATCAATAACGGAATCAAGGGTTCTGGGGAAAAGACAGGAAAGTGGCTTTAAGGGGATAATTGGATCTGCCACAATCTCATTGAATAGTGGAGGAGACTTGATGGGCTAAATGGCCTATATGTGCTTCTACATCATGTTGGCAACTTACCTCTATGTGGAACCCTCTCTCAAAAGTCTCAATGTTTGCAAGGATTCTCTTTGAAAAGAAAGATTTGATTTCTCTGTATGCCTCCCCTGTATACAGGACAACATGTTTTACAGCTCTTATATATTTGACTTTTGAGTTAGGTCCTATCTGGGAATGCTGGAAATATGGCAGCCAATTTTCTACACTGCAACTTGTTCTTGGTCAATCTGTTTTAATGATGGTGATTGAGGGATAAATATCATTCACAACTTTCAAGCTCTTTTGTTGAAGTACTGCTGGCTTTAAAACAGTCTTTTACTATTGATTAATTATCATCAATTGTAAAAGATGTGGAAGAAAAGCTTTAGGAATAGCACCTCACCCTTTTCAGCCTTCTGGACTCAATATTGAGTTCCATAATGAAAATGGGGACATCAGAAATGAAAACTGAAGATGGAGGAAGTACCCAGAAAGCCAGGAGAAAAAAACTGAGTTAACGTTTCAGGCAGTAAATTCCAGTGAAAAGAGATTGACCTGGAATATTAGCTGTGTCTGTAGCCTTGGATGCTGCCTTCCTCCCTTGCTTTGGTGTTTAAGAACAAGCTGATGTTGTTCATAATTTTATTCAATGCTTCAAGAACCTTGGGCAATTTGCAACATCATTGACACCGATACAAGAACAAAGCACTGCTGAGGCAGGAAAGATGAAGCAGAAGTTCAGAAGGGGAGGCAACACTTATTGGTATTATTGCTAGACTATTAATCCAGAAACTCAGCTAATATTCAGGGGACCCAGGTTCAAATCCTAACACAACTGAGGAAGCCAACAAATGTTTATCTGGAAGACTGAGAATCCACTGATGACCAGGCAATTACCAGTTATGGAAAACCGCCATCTGGCTCACTAACATCCTGCAAGAAAGTAAATCCGCCATCCTCACTTGGTCTGGCCTACATTTGACTCCAGACCCACGGCAATGTTGCTGATTCTCAACTGTCCACTAAAATGACAGAGCAGACCACTCAGTTGTATCAATAATCACTATTGTCTCAATAAAGAAGTGAAACTGGACAGGCCTCCTGGCATCAACCTAGGCACCAGAAAAGACAGCCCTGTCAACACTGCATACCCTTCCTGAAATCTGGGGGCGAGTGCCAAAATTGGGAGAGCTATCTCACAGATTAATAAGCAACAGCCTGACATAGTCATACCTATGGAATCATACCTTACAGACAATGTCTCAGACACCACCATCACTGGAAACGTCCTATACCAGTGGCAGGTCAGACCCAGCAGAGGTGGTGGTGCAGTGGTTTACATAATCAGGAGGGACTCATCCTCGCAGTTCTCAACATTGGACTTCAGACCCCCATCAAGTCTCATCAGGGTAAACATGGGCAAGGAATCCTCCTGCTGATTACCACATTGGCTGATGAATCAATAATCCTCCATGTTCACTTTTGCCCTGTGTCAATAGGATTGCTGCTAGGGAGTGGACTGGAAGCATTGTTCAGGATCATGAACGAACTGATGGTCTCCGTGGAATAAAATTCTTCGTGGGGAGGAAGAATTTGGAAAAGTTGCTGCTAACTGACTCCTCATACCCACGTGACAGCCACAGCTTCTGGCACTTTCCATCCCAGCGAGTCACATGGCTCCAGCAGGTCAGGTGGTCGCGTGCGTCCGCGTCATCCGTTCGGGGATGTCACCGCGTCAGCCCACGACGCCGCGCAGGCGCAGCACCGCCATCCCGAGGCCGCCCCGATGGAGGTCTGGATCCGTCCGCTCCGTCAATCCCGGCTCTCGCTCCTGGTGCTGCCGTCCGGCTCCTCCGGCCTTGAGCTCAAACACTGCTGCTGCCATGGGCAGGTGAGCCGTTCAGCTCAGTGTCACTGTCTGCCGGTGCGGGGAGGGCGGAGCACTTACCGCGAGCCCCCTGCCTCTGGGGCGGGGGAGAGAGGGGGCGCCGGCC